TTTTATTTTTTTTTAGTTCCCCCCCCCCCCCCCCGCATCTCCATTTTTTTCATATATTTTATCAACATGGGTTGTGGTGCAACGACTACTTCACTAACCAGAGATCTCGGATTCGAGTTTAGGACATGGAGAAAATTATGCTGGAAGCGCCGCACCGAATAAGTTTTGCATTGCTCTATCTAAATTTAATTGGAGCTCCTATACGGACTTTAGACACTGATAGAAAACAAAAAGAAATTGTTAAATTAAATTAGGTCATTTTTAAATTAAAATAGGAGTATATTTTTTTAAAGTGCAATTTAAGACCCGTTTATTCGTATATAATAATTATTTTTGGTTAAAGGTTTATTCGTACTATTTTCACCTCACTTTCACTCAACGGTAAAAAAAAATTAATTTAATTTTGATTGGACCTCTTTCAAAATATGTGAAGTTTAAAAGTTCAAAATCTAAATTCTTACCTATTCCCTAAAAATCTTACCTATATACCTATTCCCTAAACCACCTTTGCTTTCTTTACTTTCTTTTACCATTTGAATGTATTGAATATTAATATGATATTCAATTTAATTTATTAAGTTGTTTTTTGATTTTTTTAAATTCGTTTTAGCTTTAAATTTTTTATATTTACACCAATTACTCCAATTAGCACAATTTATAATATCGATGGGATAAATTCTAAATTTCTAATGAGATCCAAAAGTGGCTTTAATTTGGATCATATGGAGTATACAATATTTTTGAAAATGTAAAGATCCAAACCAAAATAAGGTCGATGGTTTCGTCAATCAAGTATATATATTTGTTATAATTAGTCTATTAAGTCAATAAATGATATCTTGAAAAAAAATGCAAAGACCCAAAATAAAATAAGATTGACAGCTTAATTAAAGAAGTCGTATATGTCATGGAATATTGTATCAATTTGGCTTTTAATAATTTTATATGAAAAGATTATCGAATGATCTTTGGCTTTGATTTTTTACTATATACTCAATACCTCATAGAGACAGTAATAATTTACTATTTTTTTCTTCTAAATAAATATCAAATATTAATTTCAGTACCTTACTAATTGCTACTATTATCCTTTAGTTTTCAATTCACATTATTGTCATAGATTCTTTTATTTGTATTACACTTATATATTTATTTTCATATTAGTTACTATATTTTTTATTTTACGAGCATTATGTAAAGTTTCGTACATTATTATCCTATCGTGCCAAATAGTTAAAAAATTGTATATTTATTTCATCAACAATTTTTTATTTAACCAATAAAAAACTTAACCTAACCAAAATCGACAAAAAATATCTTATTGATTTGATTATTAGTTAAACACATTAAAAATTTGAAAATCAATAAATGGACTGATAACACATAAAATCATACCATCAGTCAATACGAAAAAAATATGTAAATATATATTTGAAAAAAGATGTAAATGTCCAAATTAAGACAAGGTCGATAGCTTGATCAAACAAGTACGTATCCACACGGAATTTGCTCTGTTAAGCCAAATTATGTCATACACCGTATTAAACTACCGTGATCACGGTTGACCGGTCAAGCCACAATAAATATTGGGTTTCTCACAATATATGAGAGTTTTCTTTTGACCTACTTCAAAGTACAACACTTCAATGACATTTTATCGAAGGATATAAAGGTCGTGGGTTAGAATATAATGTTAGTAGATAATTAAATGTTGTTGCGTAGTTGTTTCTTTGTTCATACCAGTAGTAGCATTATTTTCATAGTTTCTTATACTAAGTTTTTTTCCCTATTACTATCTCCATTGTTTCGTATGCTTTAGTTATCGCATTATTTAGCTATTATTACTACTCCTTGTTTTCTGAATGTTATGTAATGGTTTTCCAATTATTTGTTATGTTTTCTCTATTTTTGTATTTCTCTTTTTCAAACTACTCACAAAATCATCATATCTGTAGTCTACGTACTGAGATAAAATTGAATACTATAGTCAAAGAAATAAGTTTTTAGATATATGTGTAAGGAATAATTTGATATATTTCTCCCTAGCCTCATAACTGTGTGGTCATTTGATCTTCCAGATGATGTTTTGTAGTACCAGCATTGAAGCTTCTAATGTGTTCAAAATGCAGCTGTTTCATGTCTCACATACATTCAACACATCTGCAAAACTCATCACAGCTCATAG